TGTCAGGTTTTTATTAATGATAAAGAGGATGAAAGACAGAACTCTCATTATTTGACTTTGCCATTAAAAATAATGTGCTCATTTTAAAGAAGAACTGGATTTTCTTCTGTATAGAGTAGCAACTAATCAGTTTCCTCTTAGCTTAAAAGAGAGCAGGTTAAACTAATGAGCAGGGTCTGTTTTAGGCATGGGTGATTCTAGACATTTGCACATTTTTATTCTTAGTTATGTTATGATAGAAATAACTTTTACTGTGTATGAGAAAAAAGTTGCTTATAACTCAAGTGTCTCATTCTGTAACTGTATTTAATTTTACAAGGAAATAATTTATCATTCTCTGAAGTGACCCTTTAAATGCTGATGGCAACAGCCATTTTCAGTTGAAAGCAGTGGTCCGTGTGACATTCTAGAAGGCATCCATTCTTGTGTTGTCATACCTGAGGGAGACAAAGAAAACAAGTCACTGACAAGTGTGAGCTTTTTTTTATTCATATCTTTTTCTTTCTTGTTTTTCTGCTCGTTGGTTTGTTTTTAATGATCACCTCAAAACGTATGTGCTTTCTAGAAAATCTATCCTCAACAGTGCCTTCCACTTTTATTATCTAAGTCGATTTTGGTCCCTGGAGTATGACTACTGTTCATGACTGCTGTTGGATGGCTAAATATTATTTGGAGTTTGGATTCTCTGTGCTCTGGGACAGCATTTTAATATCATCACTAGCTGACTGTTCTAAATGTTGCTACTGAGGAAGTTTTAATTGTCCCTAGGGAACTGGGAACTAGTTCCTTTCTAAGACAGAATATGTAATGAAATCATGGGTTTTCATAAAATGTATTTTTAGTTTTCTATATAATGTACCTACAGAGTACAGAATTAAGATCCTTATAATCAAGACTAAATCATATGAGCTTATACATTCTGTACTAATCTTTTTGAATACTTTTATTCAGTTTGGAAGGTACTTTGTTCAAACCTGGTAGTTCTCATTTGGAATGAAATAATAACATTTTTCTCTCCTAGGTCTGCTGTTCCCTGTGTATCTAACTCAATTAGATAATGCAAAGTTTGGGTTTTAGCTGACCAAAAGAAAATACCCAAGAAATTAATTCTTTGAAATTTTGTCTTTACTGTTTTCTATATGAATCACAATATATGCGTATTTCAAAATGCGCAGCACAATATGTGTGTCATTTATATGTAAAACTCATAGTAATATTCAAATTTGTGTATAGATAAAATATACTTACTTTTTTTTTAAGATTTTATTTATTTATTTGACAGAGAGAGAAAGAGCACAAGCAGGGGAAGTGGCAGGCAGAGGGAGAAGCAGACTCCCCGCAGAGCAGGGAGCCCAATGCGGGGCTCTATCCCAGGACCCTGGGATCATGACCCAAGCTGAAGGCAGCTGCTTAACCGACTGAGCCACCCAGGCGCCCCAAAATATACTTACTTCTGAAATTGTGGATCACATCTCCATTCTTCACTTACTAAATATTTACTGAATAACTAAGAACATACATACCATCAAATAGCTTACAGATGAAGCTGTTTTAGCTTTGGCTTTAATTAGAACCATGAACCAAACAAACATGCCTTCTGGTGGGAAGCGCATACTTCAGTGATTCAAGCACACTCATTTTCTGCTGACTTTCACCAAAGCAGAAAAGTTTGCATACACAAATCAATATTAGCAGGAACATGAAAGAGTAAAATGAAGTACTACATATTATCTGGCTAGTTTTTCTTCACTATCCTAAATAACAGCAAGTATATAATTTGAAGCATGGCATAGACATCCTAAGTATTTTATAAATTGAGTCATATTTTAAAGGAATTAAGGTATTTCACTACATGAAGAATTACTCAGCAAATCTTTCTGAAATGTGAATAATTGCTCCATACTGTATTTTGGTGTTTTCAAAACTTTAGCCATTTATATACCAGCTTCATCATTTTTGTTATATTTGTATAATGTTTATACCAATATTTACTTAATATTGTTTCTGTAATATCTCTCACTTTTTAAATTTAAATATAATGTCACCACAGTACTATTAGTATCATTTGCTATAAATGGAAAAATTTCAGAAATATAAATACGTAGCCATTAAAATCCTGTATTATCACCTAAATAACATGCCACTGGTGCCAGACATATGACTTGTTGGGAATCACTGTCCCATATGATTGTAAATTCAGATTTTTATAAGTTTAATTCTCTTAAAATAAAGCACAATTTAGATGTATATTAATCTCAGTGAGGGCAGAAGTTATTTCTGCTTTGTGCTTCCTTGTTTCCCCAGTACTTAGTACTTGGCGCATAATAGGCATTCAATAAAAACTGAATGGCAAATTAATGAATAGTGCATATATTTGCATATTCATCCTCTAAAATACTCCTTAGTAGTAATAAATAATAACACAAACAGGAAATGAAAGTACATTTTTTAAAAAAAGGAAAATACATTTTGTGCAGCATATGTTTGTATCCCCAGTCTTTAGAGCACGAAGTAATATAACGCATAGCATTCTTATTAAACTTTAATGAGCATGTTTGTAGCTCAGGGAAGGGTGCTGCAATGTGCAAGAGAGAAGTGGGCACAAGGCAGTAAGGAGCGGGTCTAGTGATTGGGAAGAGTGAGGAGAGAAAGTAGGAGAGAAGTAAAAATTGAAATATATATCGATGTCATGAGATCCAAGCTAACCCCGCAACTGTGTTCAGGCAATAAAAAAGGACTAAGTTAAAGGCTAAATATACATGCGAAAGTTGTTTCGGTGGAGAAGGATCTGTTCCATTAATAGTTACTTACAAATCACCAACACTAATGACCAGATTCTTCTAAAACGAGATGCTCTACAACATCCCCCTCATGGACTTTCTTCCAATAAACTCACTTCTAAAGCTGAAATCCCAACCTGTTTTTTTTTGTCCCTGCACTTAAGAAATGACATAATCAATTTTCTGCATCATTTGGGCTAGAAGAAAAGACTGTATTAAGCGGAAATGAGCATAGCATTTTAGCCCCATTTATAATTGGAGATTCATGAGTTAGGGAGGCACCTGAAATACAAATAGGCTGTTTCATAAAGCCTAGGAGGCCTCCGTAAATGGAAGCAATCCATATCAGCTATTTGTCAAGAAGTCAGTGGTTAGCTGATTTGACCACTAACAATTATTTTGACAATAGGAATTACTGACAGTAGGAACTAACTCTTCAGAAGAGGAATTACAGAGGCAAAAGCATTCTTAGTTCAGAAATGATGTTAAAATTTTGCAATGATATTATATATATATAATATGTGTATAATATATTTACCTTTTAGGTAAATTTAGGTAATAGGCCAAGCCTATTACTTAATCTAAGAGAATGGCTTGCACCTTGTTTTAGTGAAGGGACTCTGGGCTTGTCAGGAAGTAAATGAGTGATGACTTATTTCTCTTAAAAAAAAAAACTATTTATTGATTTACTCAAAAAAGTTGTCTCTTTCAAAACTGAATAGAGAAAACGAGAAATTTAAAAAAGAAAATGAAAGGAATATATACTTCCAAGAATTTGGAGTTAAATGAGACTGAAGTAGGAAGCAAGTAGATTCTTTGGAGCTGAAGTGGACTGTCTTCAGCTGAGGGAAGACTCTAAAAAGCAGCAGGCCTTCCCTTCAACATGAGGGACACCGTCATGCCTGGTCACTGCAGCAGGGACTGAGACGAGGTGTGGGAAGCATATAAGAAAGGGCTATCCGCTGTTGGTGAGTGGAATCTTCAGTCATGGCAGAGGGCTGTCAAGATGGAAGTAGGGTTCATGTGGATACTTTTGGCAGCTATGATGATGTGCTACCATCTTATCATTTATGAGGCTCTGAGTCAATCAGAGCACCCAGAAGAAGGGGGCACTCCGTAAGGCAACTCCAGGAATTACTTTTTCCTCTATGAGCAAAGGAAGAGACTTGGATTGGTGCTGGATATTCTCATCATTAACAGACTGAATGAATAAACCCATAGCATCAGATAAGATTTTTAAATGGCAGCATGCCATTTGACCCAAAAAGGAGAATAAAGGGCTCACACTATTTGGGAGTAGTAATAAACCATTGGAAGAAATATGTAAGACTGAAGATACCTAGCTCTTTTTGTTTAGACAGTTTTCCCGATTTCAGCCTGTGTCTGCTTGTAGGAAGGAACACACACCTGAAAGTCAGGTGACCTTGGTTAAATCCCATAATTTCCTTTTGCCTCATTTTTCTTTCATATGTTCAATACCCTATCTACCTGGCAAGACTTTTTTTTTTTTTTGAGGGTTGAATGAGGTAATATATATGAAACCCATTAAAAAGTGACATCGATGGTATGTATTCTCGAAAGTATAAAGCATGTTGCTATTGCTACTGGAGATGAATGAGATTTTAGTCAGGGTGGGTAGGTTATGTTTATAGTAGTAAAAGATCCTAACATCTCAATGGCTTAAAGCAAAAAGCTTGATTTCTTGCTCATACTCCATGTCCATCCCGACTAGGGGAGGAATATGCCCCACATCACCCTCACTCAGGGACTCAGGCTGATCTTTAGAGCCCCTGTAGACTGCTGGTCGTTGTGATGGGGAAGGGTACATGGAATCACAGGCTGCATCTTAAAGTGACACATGCCACTTCCTAATTGGCTTCATGCATTCACATGGCAATCCTCGCTTGTGTCCAGAAGAAGAGCGAGAAATATATGGTGAGCAGCACTAATTGACCCTCAGATTGTTTCTCTTCATTTTACCCATTTTGGATGACTTCTGCAACAGAGAAGCCATCCAGCTATCTTTCCTGTTACTAATACCACTACCTTCTTTCTCTATAGCTTTCAACAACCAAGTAGACATTCTTGAGTTTCTCTTTCCTCAGTTTTAAGGATTTGCTGGCACTAAAACATCTAGTAGCTGTCTAGCAGAATATTTTTCATTTTGGGCAGAGAAAAGCAGCAATTGTATAACATCCTGTTTTTTTCTTTGCCAAACAGACATTGACGAGTGCTCTGATGGCTTTGTTCAGTGTGACAGTCGTGCTAACTGCATTAACCTGCCTGGATGGTACCACTGTGAGTGCAGAGATGGCTACCATGACAATGGGATGTTTTCACCAAGTGGAGAATCTTGTGAAGGTCAGTACAAAGAGAAGAACTAGAGTTTAAGAACACCTTTTGAACTTGAAGAATATGCAGTAAGGTGTAAGTAGTAGACATTGATCTAATGTTTAAGTTATTGGTGATTTTTGCTGTGTGTTTATACAAGGATGATTGGGAACATGTTACAATCTAAACTTTGCTAATTATGATAATTAATTGATCTTTAGATGTTTAAAATTTGTGACACTAAACCAGTTCTCTTTGGATATGTGCAACTGTTGAAGGGTGTTTTTAAAATGAAAAAACCCACAGTATCAGATAAGATTTTTAAATGGCAGCAGGCAAAAAGCTGACCCGAAAAGAACTAGAAAAACTAGATGAGGCAAGCAAGATAGAAGGAAAATAGAGGGAGAGGAAATATGATAATGATATGGCCAAGGATAATATTCACAGTACGTGCTACTCTGGGCTCTTCCTAACGTATCACTTGGCTGGCAAAGTAAGAGCTGTTTAGTGAATGTTGAATGTTGGATACAGAATGTTGGCTTCGGAGGAGATTTCAATCTCATAGGAGTGGAAAATTTAATCAGGTCATATTTAATTACTTACCATTAATTTTGAATTATTTTCAGTGAATTGACAACTCTGCCCCTCTGTAGCCCCTTTTAAAGGGCATGGTTTTTAGAAAGCAGGCAGGCTATACAAAGCCTCATGAATAATTGCCAGGGAAACCACCCAGACTGAAAGGATTTGCCATCAGAAGTTTGGCACAGGAACGGAACACAGAGCAAACCTCAAGAAGTTATAATTTTCTCCATTTGTATTTACACCTTCATAAATTAACAACCTGAGAGAATAATGGGACTAAAATGACACAGCAGTGAAAGCCTTGGAGAATCTAACTTAACAGTACTTGACACCTAAATGATAAGCTGTCTTTTATTCTTGGACCTCAAAGGGTTTTCACACAGAGAAAAGTGAAGCGGACTTGGGTGATGGATGTTTCCAGTGCACTTTGCACTTTGCTAGCAGCTGCAGAGCTTTGGGCCTTAAGCAGAGAGTTCATCTGGATTTTTTTGCATGGGAATGGAAATGCTGTTGCCTTACCAGGAGCTAAAACCTGGCATTTGCAAATAACCACTTAACTGTGGTCTGAGGGCTTTGCCTTGCCTTCCTGAATGTCCCGGAGTGAATCCTTCTGGCCCTGTAGAGAATGCCGGGAACCATGGATTGCTCATCAAGAGGCAAATCAGTGTGATTTTGCACTTCCCTGATAAACTACTTTTTTCAAGGGGAAGAAGTCTACTTTTTTTGTTTGTTTGTTTAAAAGTGCTACCTTTTTGTTAAGATTGTCTTTTACTTTAAGTTACACACACAAAGAATGAATATAAGCTGATTATCAATAATTCAAGTCACACACAAATACATAGATTAAAGCTGAAAATGCATCTTAACTTCATCCCTCTCCTTCGCCATCCGTTCCGCTTCCTCAGGGGGAACCTGTGTTTCGTTTTGCTCGGTACCCTTGCACACCCTTTCTGTGCATCAGAATGTGAAGAGAAAAAACACATACCTCTGCCGACTATCTCACTTTACATTTCCAGTGGTACTCGCTGTCTTTGAAGTTTATGACTGCAAATCTCAAGAGGGCTGTCTTAGTTATCTATTGATGCATAACAAATTACCCCCAAAACTTAGCAGCTAAAAACAACAAAAATTATCTGACAGTTTCTGTGGGTGAGGAATCCGTGCACAGCTTAGCTGGAGGCCTCTGGGTTCACGGTTTCTCATGAGGTTGCAGTCAAGTTGTTGGTCAGGCATGTGGTTTCATCTTGCAGACTTGTCTGGGGTGGGAGTGGGGTGGGACGCTAGGGGAGACTCTGCTTCCAAGATGGCTCATGTGCCTCTTGGCAGGCCTGGTTTCCTTAACACAGGAACCACTCCCCAGGGCTGCCTCAAGACATGGGAGCTGGCTTCCCCGAGAGTAAGAAATCCAAGCAGAGCCAGTGCTTGCTTGGATAACTTAATAACTTTTATAACTTAATCGCAGATGTGCCATTTCATCCATTTCTTGCATTCTGTTTGTTAGAAGTGAGTCAGTAGGTCTAGCCAGCCCACATTCAAGGGCATGAAGAGTAAATGGTGAGGTTCACTGGGGACTAGCTTATACACTTCCTCCTGCAAGGGCCATCCGCTTTACCCAGCATTCAAATTTTTTTCCCTTAGTTACTTTCCCCTGCAACTCTCCAGTACAGCCATTTCATACCTTCTCTAATCTCCTCAAATCTTAGGTACCACTTCCTTTCTCTTCATTCTGTTGATGGCCCTGCTGCTTAATTAACTGAGAAAACAGAAGCACTTTTGCCCCAGGAGCTATACTAGCTTTACTCTGATTTATATCTGTAACTGCTGCTTTCCCTTTCCTCCTGTTTCACTGAATTAAGTTTCATTTCTCCCATCAAAACTTAAACCCTCCATAGTACCTTACGACGCACCTCCTCTCACCTGCTTGAGGTCTTTGCCTTTGGACTATCCACTTTCTCTTCCATATGATAAATACTCTTTTTCTGCTGCATCATTCTCATCAGCATACAAACAGCCTGGAGTAGCACCCATCTTTAAAAAAAAAAAAAAAAACAAGCAAAGGGGCGCCTGGGTGGCTCAGTTGGTTAAGCAACTGCCTTCGGCTCAGGTCATGATCCTGGAGTCCTGGGATCGAGTCCCGCATCGGGCTCCTTGCTCAGCGGGGAGTCTGCTTCTCCCTCTGACCCTCCCCCCTCTCATGCTCTCTCTCTCTATCTCATTCTCTCTCTCAAA